GGGAATTTTATGATTATCTAATAAAAATATGATAAATAAATCATTTCTAAACAAGTAAGAGTGAGGTTTCAATGCATACTATTCTGGATTATAATATGCAGAACTACTCATAAATGGTTACAATGTAACAGAAGAGTGAATAATCTCGTTTTTGCTTAACGTAAGATGTTTCATCGATTACCAGAATCCATTTAAGCTGCTTTGCTAAGATATGTTTTCTTTATACGAATTGAATTTCTTTAGCAAAATTCTGCAAATTGATACAAAGTCTTTCCGATTACTAGCGCTGTGTTGAAGCTATCAAACTAGCATTGATGAAAAATATTTGTATCACATTTAGTATAAAGTTTTGTTTTGTACGTCGAAATATACTCTTGTGTTTGTTCATATGCCCATTGATGAAACAAAAAAAAAAGCGAAGTTTATAAAATCTCTCAAATTGTACAAATTAGACAGCATTTTGTTGTTCTATAAAATATTTTAGAACATTATAAACAAATCTGATTTATCTATCTCGATCATATAATTCAATCAAAAAGACTTTCATCAAAGTACTTGAAACAAATAAGCAAGAAGTTCAGATTTAACTTTAAAAACAAAATAATCAAACTCAATTGAACTCATAAAAATCATTATTAACTACCTTCCATTTTCTGTATTTTGGAAGAAAAAACAACATCATGAGTCAGTGTTCTTTTGTCTAATCCAACTTAGTTAGATCGTGTTGCAAGCCTTGATCGTTCTGACCCATTTTTTTTGACAATATAATCAACCTTGTATTATGTTAGTCAAGACATGTGACTGAAGAAGCGATAATGAATCGTTTTGTTCTTTCGTCTGGTCATTGTTTTATGCTTCATTGCTTTTTTTCGCTCGAGTCAACAAGCTTTTTGTGAATAAGGTGCTCCTCATAGTGCATCACATCTATCAAATCTTAATCGATTTTAATCTGATTTATCGAGGTTTTGGCTTACACGGGTAAGTATCAAGTGGTGTCGTATGTGGAAGTGTATGAAAGATAGGCCTAGTACTATATTTACCATCTGTCGACGGGAGGAGTCAGAAAAAAAAGAATCAAAAATTGAAGTTTCTAAATTAAACAGTGGCAGATCCAAGACTTTCGAGTATGTTGTATCTTAGTTTCAGGGCATTGGATTCAGATGACACTTATGGAGGATGATATTGGAATCCAATGATGAATTTTTACCAAAATATTTTTGCGATTGAAGTTTGCGAAAAAAAAATCATTTTTTAAAGTGTTGACCCCGTCCCTCCCCTAATTTTTTTTGCTTTTCATAGTGTGACATTTTTTAGAATTTAATAGTAATCTACATCGAATTTCATCGACAGATTTCAAATTTCTTTTAAAAAAATGCATCCGTCCAGGAGTTATAATGTTTTTAATTTTTGAGAAAAATTTTACGTTTTATGTCAATAATTAAAATCGTTATGACTGCTGGACGGATGCATGTTTTTAAGAGAAATTTGAAATCTGTCGATGATATTCAATGTATATTACTATTAAATTCTAAAAAAAGCCACACTATGAAAAGCAAAAAAATAAGGGGGAGGGGGCGGCAGTTTAGAAAATAAGTTTTTTTTTCGAAAACTTCAATCGAAAAATGTTTTTGGTAGAAACTCATCATTTGGTTTCAAAATCATCCTCGATAAGTTTCATCTGCATCCCATGCTCTGAGACTGAGATACAACATACTCGAAAATCCTGGATCCGCCACTGAAGTTAAGATTGAAGAAAAACGTGTTTTATAGGCGTAGCAATTGAAACCGATAAAATCGATTAAAATTAGTTTTTTTGTTGTTTGTTTTACATGTGTTGAACCTTACCTAATCAGTTCAGTATATTTTTCTATTCTGTATTTTATTTCTGTCGAAAAGTAAGAAATTTAACAATCAATAGATTTCGAGTTGTTTTTAAATTATTTATTTTCTCTTCCTATTGTATTTTTATTTATTTTTAAAATTTATAAAGTTTCGTCAAACGAATTTGACTTCATCAGACTATACAATAGTATACATATAAGATTTGTGCATCCAACATTATTTTCTATTTTACTTTCCTTTTACTATTTATTGATAGTGAAACGAACAAGACGATGACACTTGACGAAGTTTCACTTTTTTTTTTGAATTTTTTCTTCGTTCGTTGCACTATCAATAAATAGTAAAAAGAAACTAAAATAGAAAATAATGTTGGATGCACAAATTTTATATGCATATCATTGTAGTCTGATGAAGTCAACTTCATTTGACGAAATATCATAAATTTTAAAAATAAATAAAAATACAATAGGAAGAAAAAGTAAATAATTTAAAAACAATTCAATATGATCTTCCTTAATGCTTGTCGATCAATAGACCTTGTGTTAGTTGATGATAGCATATAAATACTATTCTTTCACAATTAATGAGTTATGAGAAACCCAAAATGAGGTTGTCATAATCAATGGTCATGATATATGCTCAGTATTGTTCTGTTTTGTCTTTGCTTAAGTCATTTGAAAACCTTTTCTTTTTCCTTTCTTTTCTTTTCTCTGTTCGTCCATTGTATTTTCGACTCATCGCTCTCTAAGAGAAGAAAAAACATCATCGGCATGTATTGACATGAGAGAAGAAAAGGAATGTTCAAAGAAATAAATACAATATGCTTTTTTCACATGCATGTTCTTTTTCTTTGTGTGCTTAATTTCTTTTTTGTTTTGGATGTTCGGATTGAGAATAATAAAGAAGAAAGAAAGAGTGATGGGAGAGCAACTAAGAGAGGTAGTTTGGGCAAGAATCTGTATAGCTAATTTGCCCAGTTTTTCAGCCAAAATATCTGAATCGTTTAGAGATTTTCAAAGTATTCGTAGTATTGAAATATAGTCGTTAAGTTCTGTGTAATTAATATATTTACAATTGTCTCACAAATTCTTCGACGGTAGAGATAGTGAGAGTGTAAAAAATGACTTAAACTCCTTGTATTTCATTTATATTATGCAAACATATATTTCTGTAATATCTTGATTTAATTTTTCTTTCGTGTCGAATATGTTTCAATTAAAGTTTCAACATTGCATCTATGAATAGTGAATAAAAATATACTGTCCAGACAAGGTCATTGCGTGTTGATGAGGATTGAAGACTAAGGATCTACGAGTGGTTATCATAATCGCTATAAAAACTATGGAAAACGCCATATATATGTGTATATATATTTCTCACACCCTTTGGGTGTACAACAGCAGTTTGATATTCAAGTAGAAAATATACATTTTTTTTATTCGTCGTGAGATGACAGTTAAATATAGAAAGTGATTCAAGACAACTAAATGATAACAACTATGATTATTTTCTCATGTTTACATACATTTGTCTCTTTTAATAGTACGAAAAAGAAATCAACCGTTCGCCTTCACTACACTTGACTCATTTAAAATCTTATTTGCTGTCTATTTTTATCTCTTGTCTGTTGCCCTCACGCCTTTCACTCGAACAAAAACTAAAAGCAAGTAAGTTGAATTGAATTTGATCAGAGAGAAAGTAATCGCATTGATAATTCTTAACAAGATTCGATTCTGTTAGAAGTTTATTATCTACATCACTGAAGAAGATTGATTCGACCTTTATAATATTTTTAGCATACTAGAGCTGTTTTGGGGATATCAGAAATGAAGCGAAGAACCTTACGAAATTCGTTGTATACTCAGTTCCTTGAAATTTTATATGCACAAGTCTATCATGTCGATGATCATAAACTTCGAAAATATAGTCGTGTACAAATGAATCTATAGATTTTTTTCTTTTCAAACTAAATTTAGAAAAAATGCTGGAATCTCCTTCTTCATGACACGAAGATTTTGTGTTTAATCGATACAGAAATCTTTTTAAATACGAATGGAAATGATAGTCTTTCTAATTCATCTGAATTGAGTGAAAATATATATCATATACTTTCTCGTTTAATTGGTGAAATATGTTCAGAATAAGATAATGTAGAGCATATGTTCACTATTGCATAGTACTAATCAATGTACGAATGCTGAAAGACAATATAATTGGAGAGTATCATCAATAGAAAATGCAAGATGTTTATGTTATATAGTATCATCGAGTTCAGCATAATTCTAATGATCGCCGTTTTAATTTGAACTACAATATTTCTTTTTAAATCACGTTTACCCTTTCAGCCTTGCATGTGATCTAGTAGATAACCTGCAGAACGCAAAAGTTATATTTAGCGTTCTGTCGTCTTCGTAGACGATGGATATCATACGATGTGTTTCAAGAGGCTTCCTTAACCTTGTGTTTCATCGTGTATACAAAAAACCTTTGCATCTGAATTTTTCTCAACAGAGAAGCACTTTTATGGTTCAATCCTGTGTCCTCACCTACATGCAGTGCTGTGCCATGCAGCATAATCAAAAAGATATTTTACTTCTCTTGAAAAATTTATTTATAAAATACTTCTATATATACGGTGAAACACCAGATTATGAATTACTGTTTCGAGAAAAATCGTTTCCTATGACTATCAATAATGATGCTAGATTTCAAACGCAGCTGATTGTGACAACAGAACACAAGACATAGAGATTCAGCTATTTTCCTTCGTGTGCGTGCAGAACGCAAGAGAATGTCACGATCGAAAGGATTAAAATTAAAAAAATCATAGTATCTTGGGCGTCCTAGATCAAAGAAAGAAAAAAAAAGAGACAAAAAGAAAATCAGGTTTCGATATTTATTGGTGGGTTTTCTGTTGATAGTTTATTCATTTATCTATTTCTGTCTAATTATAAATTCTAAATAGAATTATGAGCAAATCAAACAATCACTCCCAAAATTTATTTACTAATGAAATAACAACAACCAAAAAGAACAAACATATCACACGGAAGTCGATTACTATTCGTGGTGAAAATCTTACTATACAAGATTTCGTAAAAGTTGCTCGTCATCATCATCCAGTGGAATTATCCCACGACGATGTTGTATGCAATCGAATGGCACAATCAGTTAATATTATTGACAATGTCGTAAAAGCCTCTTTACCGCTCTACGGTGTGACAACACTCTTCGGAGGTCTCGCCAATCGTGTAGTATCAAGTGAATTTGCTGTTGAACTACAAAATAATTTAGTTCGTGCCCACAAAGCTGGTGCTGGCTCGATTATGCCACTAGAATCGATTCGCGGAGCTATGCTTTTGCGAGCCAATGCTCATTTAATTGGTGCCTCAGGTATCCGTCGACAGTGGGACGAGCGACTTGTTCTTTTCTTGCGCAAAGACGTCACACCTCTCGTACCTGAATTCGGATCTATAGGAGCATCGGGTGATCTCATACCTATGTCGTATATCGCTGCAGCCATATCTGGTGTAGATGAAACTGTACAAGTAGATTTTCAAGGTGAAAAGATCAGTGCACCTGAAGCATTGGCACGACTCGAACTCAAACCTGAATTATATAATGCAAAAGAAGGCCTGGCCATGTTAAACGGAACTAGCGTGATGACGGCTTCAGCGGCACATGCTTGCTATGATTTTTACATACTAATGGCTGTTACACTTCACGTTCACGCGATGGCTTTGCAAGCACTTACTGCCAGTAACCAGCCGTTTCATCCATTTCTTCATAAGATTAAAGGTCATTATGGGCAGGTATGTGAAAATCATTATTAGTTCACCAGATAGAATTGTTCTAGTTCTGAATATTTTCTTAAATGTCATCTCAAAGTCTGATTCTGATCGGTTCAAAAGCCATTAACTTGCGTCTTACTTCATCTAAAACATACTGCTGTTCGACAGCGATGATAACGGATAAAAATTAATAATTACTTGAAGTCTCAGCTATGCAATTAAGTTATCAACTTGAATGCAAAGCATTTTCATGACAACGAGATTTAGTATTTGCTATCCTGTTAGTGAAATATGAGTGTGAAAAAGATTTATTCATTGATTTACGATATTTTTCAAAATTTTTATTACGATGAAAAATAAATCAACTTAAAACTAGACACTTTGCTCAAGTAATCAAATCTTGATAGAAATACAAAATAGAAGACTTGTGAATTTTTGAAATAGTATAGTAAATGAAAGAAAACTAAGAGAATTATTGATATCAATTTGTATGCATTTTGCATATGACGATTCCAGATCGACGTAGCAGACATTTTACTTGAACTGATCGACGGCTCCACAATGATCTATGATGCACTCGATGGAAAATTAACCAAGAGTAGTGGTGAGGCACTTGTTCAGGATCGATATTCTTTGCGATGCTGTCCACAATTTCTTGGTCCCATAGTCGAAACAATGTATGACATTACACAAATAATTGAAATCGAAATGAATTCAGCCAATGACAATCCTTTGATTGATACCAATACTGGCAAAGTTTACTGTAAGTTCCACTGACTTTAATAATATTAGATAAGTGTTTCAAACGTTCAGAAGTAATAGACCTTAATGTTCTGACGTTAAAATTTACCTTCAAAACTTTTTACAATGATGTCTTGCTAGTTTTCCACTATCGATTGTATAAACCTTCCTAGCCGAAGTCTGTTTTCTGAGATTTTGTTATTTTAAATGATAGAAGACTCTGACTTTCAGAACAGATACTAATCAATAAGATAAACATTTTCTTAAAAGAAAACTTTTTCCTCCAACATTTCGTTTGAATTGAAAAGTTCTCTAGAAAATTGTTTTTTTTTTTCCTGAGGGTTTGCGAGCCTGATTTCTTCGGCGAGGAACATGATTTGATCATCAATATTGTGTGCTTTAGAGTTATCTTTAAATGTTCTATCGAATATTTGAATTTTTAAAGATTTAAAGCTAAAGTTGATCGCTGAGTATGAGGATTTTAATAGCCGATTTTGATTTTTACCTGAACTTGTGAACTTCCTATTGAGAAGAAGTAAGAACTGTCGTGAGGATAACAGTAAATATTCATAATCTATTTTCACAAATCTATCAGAGAAGTGATATTTCAGTATTAGCCCAGCACTTTTACTATCAATGGTTTTTTTTTTGAGAAGGAAATATACTAGGTTTTTTCCAAAACTTTAAAACTCACTGACCATGAAAGTGAATAATTTTTATTATAGCCTAGGTCAAGAAGATCCTAAATAAAAAGTTTTTCTCTCACTAGAATCCTTATTTTTTTCTCAGTAGAGTTCAAAAGTTTAGGTAAAATCAAAATCAGCTCCTTAAATCTTCATACTCCACTACCAATTTTAGCTGTACACATTTGAAAATTCAAATGTTCGATTGAACATTTAAAGATAACTCTAACTCATATAGTATTGATAATCAAATAGTGTTCCTTGTCGAAGAAAGCAGACTTCCAAAATCTGAGAGAAATCCAGTTTTCTGGATAATTTTTCAATCCAAAAGAAATGTTGGAGAAAAAAAGTTTTCGCTTAAGGAAACATTTATCTTATTGATTAGTATCTGCTTTGAAAATTATAGTCTTTTATCATCAAAAATAAGAAAATCCTTAAAATCAGATTATGGTTAGGGAAACTGTTACAATCAAGGGTAGAAATTTACTAAGACATCATTTGGAAAAGTTTTGAAGAGAAGTTTTGATGTCAGAACATTTAATTCTACTAATTATGAAATTTTGAAACACTTTGAGTAAAATTGATGTAATCATGATACGTTTTCTAAAGAATCATCTCACTGCTTTTGAAATAGCAATTTCACTCAACAGTTAACAAACGAAACCAAGTTTAACTTATGTATTTATTAGTGAAATTATTTCATAGAACTCTAGTTAAAACGTGCTACGTGTAGCAACAAGATGCCTCATAAATAAACGCATATGACAGAACAAGTTACTTTTGTAGTGACTAAACAGTAGTCTATTCACTATTTGAGAAAGTTTCTTTCTGATAAACTGTTTACAAAACCAGTATTGTTTTCTACTGGTTGACTGAAAGACTAATATATCGGCTGGCTTCGCACTGTGTCATTATTTCTACTTCGATCTTCAAAGTACTATCTATTAAGTTGTTTCGAACGAATTAAATTTAAAAATTTTCCCTATAATTAAGAAAGAGTAAGTTAGTTTGATAATATACAGTGAAAATATTCAAAGTTATATTGCGTAGGGGGGGGGGGGAGGACTTTCGAAATGCTCTGTATGCCAAAAAAAATTCTTTATCGAATAAATATTATATGTAAATATTCGTTTACAATTATTTTCACAGTTTCAGATTTCTATTCACATCCTAAATCGAAGTTGCATTCATTTGTATTAAAGTTTTGATTTTGACTCATATTCATTTTATCTCAAAGGAATGTATTTGTTCTAGTCCAATTATACAATAGTCTATTTTATTTCAATCTGAATCTAAAGAACAAAACCAGCGTTCGATTTCAAATAGAAATGGGAGGGTTAAGGGATCTTTAGAATTATTTACTATGGTAAATAACTCTAAAACCTTACTGGTCTCACCATTCAAAAAAAGAGAGTATATAACAATATAATAATAGATAACTCTAAAGACCAAAGAGGCCCGTCGTCGATAAAGTATAAAATATGATATCTCTGCAGATGTATGCATAGTAACGACTTATTCGAAATGTACCGTTAAATAAATAGTGGTGTCATTATGTTTGGATGAGTGAGATATGTGTATCTTTTATGCATAGTAAGATCCTCTTCTTCCGTCTTCTGTCGATAAGCAGGTTTCTTTTGCTAGATTCTCTAAGTTTCTGTTGTTTGGAAAAAATCAATGTAATTTTTTTGTCTAAAATTCATTTTGAAATAAAATTCTCATAGACTTAGTCCAACAATATTTTGATTCATAGTACATATCATTTTTGTTAACAATCAAGTTACTTTAAATACTTAATCAGTCTATCATATTGGGAGGTTTTAAGCAAGGTTTTATTAACATTTCTAGGTGGTGGTAATTTTCTTGGTGAGCATGTGGCCTTAGCTATGGATCGACTACGACAAGTTATTGGTCTTATGGCCAAACATCTGGATGTACAGGTCGCCCAGTTGGTTACACCTGAGTTTAAAAATGGTCTACCTGCTTGTTTAGTTGGTAATCGTGCTCGTCAAGTAAATATTGGTGTCAAAGCTCTTCAAATTTGTGGTAATTCAATTATGCCCGTTTTGCTTTTTCTTGGTACATCTATAACCGATAAATTCCCCACACACGCTGAACAGTACAATCAGAATATCAATTCAATGGGACAAATGTCTGCATGTCTCGCTCGTCAATCAATTTCTACATTGTGTCAACATTTGAGTATTTGTCTTCTTGTTTGTGTTCAAGCACTTGATTTACGAGCCAATATTATTGAGAAAGAAACTAATTATGATGCTCGTCCATTACTCTCGGAAAATACTCGACGTGTTTATGAAGCTGTTCGATTGATTATAAATGTACCTATTGACAGAAAGCGTCCTTATATTTGGGATGATGGAGAGCATGCATTGGATGAACATATAGCTCGAGTAGCCGAAAATCTCATCGGAAACGAAAATGGACCACTCTATAAGTCATTGGAACCAACCATTGAAAAGCTTCGATCAAAACACTATTTGCATCATTCGTCGATGAGATCCAAACTTTAGAATACGTGTAAGCGGTTTTCATATCACCAGAGACATTTTTCTTAAACAAGTCAAATATAGACTTGCGTTCTAATGTAAATGTATTTCTTTTTTTTGTGAATTATGTTTCAATAAACAATCAGAAGAAACCATGTAAATCTCCAAAAAGCATGTTTCTGTTTTCAATAGCTAGACAAAGAGGAAATCATGAAGAGAAAAATCTCAATACATGTTCTCCATACGCAAATACAGTAATATTTATGATTTAATACAATTTCTTATTTTGATTTTGGATATGATATTGTGTTTTTTTACTGGAAACACTATAGCATTGAGAAGAAATTTCTTTTTTTTTGTCTAGAAAATAGTAATTTCAACATTTTTTTCAACTGTTATATCAGTATTGCACGTCATTTTTCAACTTTAAATCATTATTTTGATTATATACTTCTCCAGAATTATCTATCATTCGATGTTCAATTAAAATTTTTGATTAGACTAGATTTAATTATTTTTTCACTATTGATTTTCTCATACTTTATTCGCTCCAATTGTTTTGTCCACTGCACGTAGTTACCATACATGAGTGAAACTAAATGTGATGTATACTCTGAAACTTTTGTTCAAGAATTGTTCTTATCATAAATCACAAAGTACACATTGAGAATCAATTTAACAGAAATCATTAGAAATGTGTTACTTTATTAAATAATATTGTAATGTTACAGAAACCGAATTCGAATTCAATATTTGAAAAGTAGGCCGAATCGAATTGAAATGCTCTTATTCCATATGTTTTCTGGATCATAAACATATCGAAAAAATCAAATCAAATAAAAAAACAGAAGAAGTTGGAATATATTCAATCACAGTTTGATAAGTACGAATAAAATACAGATACTCGGTTATCTTATTAAAAAAAAGCAAGATAAAATATTAATTTTCATATTACAGTCTTCTACTGGACGACAGTTCTCATTATCCTGTGTGGATAGACATTTAGTAACAGTTGAGCGTGATAAAACCAAAAAAAAAAAGACAGAACGAAAATAGTTTGCTATGAAAAATAGTCAAGAAATTTGGAACAAAAGAATAAAAGCTTGAACTTTCAGGTTTCAATGCGCATTTGACAAGAATTAAATTGACCTAATAACATTACGTGAAGCTCATAAGTGACTCAAATAAGATGTACATATAGTTAACGCAAAGAATAACAGTTTAGAAGTTATAATCAAGTCCGTCTATTTTTTGTGAACAGAAGTGCTCGTTGCGAATATGTAATTAAAACATGCAGACGTACGCTATAATTGAAAGATTCTTTAATAGGTGAAATACTTTCAATAACTATTTATTTACAATTACATAACAATCTTTTGGTATCATAAGTTTAATAATAAAAAGATATTTTAACTTTTCACGATATCCATATATCAGGAGAAAAAAAAACAATTCATATTTTTAATAATCTCGAGATTGTCGAATGATTTCTATTTATTATTTATTTTACATCTGTTTAACTTATTTATTTAAAATAAAGTTCTCTATTGAAACAAACTGTAATAATTACTTCTAGTATCAAACTTTTCAGCTAATTTTTTGTAGCGATTAGTTTTCGTTCGTCTAATCTTGATAGATACAATCAGTGTATAAAATTCAGATCTTTCAAGCGTCATTTATATTATTTTTTTTCTATTTCATTAATATCTAACGTTTATGAGTAATTCTATTTTATAAAATCTAATTATTTCTATTATACTTTTTTTTGTTTTAAATAAGGGAATAGAAATATAAGTGGCTTGCTAAAATAAAAAAAATTAGAAAGTAAGTAGTAAGTGTAACATATACGAAAATAAGGATATACTTTCCCGGCAGCATTGCGAGTCGAATCGAATCCGAATGAAAGTTTTCTTATTTGTTTCGATTTCTGTAATGTTATGATATAATTCAATGTTTAAAATTAATGCTAACGACTTTGATAAAGTAATATATGTTTAACCAAAAAAAAAATAGCATGATTAGTGTCTTGAGCTTAACTATATCTGACGACAATTTCGATTGAAATTTGTTATTCTATACGGAGTACGAGCGTCATCTGGATGCTTGTAAAAATTACTGGTAGATAATAGAAAAAAAAATAATGAACAGACAATTATGTAAATATCATGTTTGCTCGGTTTACTATCTATAAAGTCAATCATAATCATCACGGCGTTGTGTTTTGTAAAGACATTATAAGATAGTATAGCATTTTTATTGTTTTCTTTTATATTAAAGATTATTTTCTTTAACTATAATGGATAGTTTACATTGTGCTGATCCTGGTGCAAACCAAACTCATCAACCTCAAGGTCATGAAGAACAAGTCGCAGGAGTAAATATTTATAAAACAGGTCAAGGAAAATCGGCTATTGTTTTATTTACTGATATATTTGGTTATACTTTTATTAATACCCGAAAATTAGCAGATCGTTTTGCTAATGATACTGGTACAACAGTTCTTATACCTGATTATTTTCATGGAGATCCAATGAATCCTACTATACCCAATTATAGAGATTTGTTACCTGATTGGCTAAAAAGACATCCGACAACTGAGGCATGTGAAATTGCAGATAAATTTATTTCAACTATTAAAGGACATTATGAATCAATTCAAGTAAAATTGAAAATTTATCTTTTAGAAACTAAATAGTTTTAGTTTTTATTTTATTTTATTTTATTTTAGGTAATAGGTTTTTGTTATGGTGCTAAAGTAGTAGTTTATTTAATAACACATCCTGAATTATCATCAACAATAAAAGCAGCCATAGTTGGACATCCATCAATGTTAGTGAAAGAAGAAGCTAAACAAATACGACGACCTATTCTCTTTTTATGTGCAGAAATTGATCATATTTTTACACCTGATATTGAAGAATATTTTGAAAAAGAATTAGCTACAAGTGGTTTTGGAACATTTCTCAAATATCCCGGTACTGTTCATGGTTTTATTGTTCGACCAGATGGTTCTCCACAAGTTAATCAACAAAGTGAAAAAGCTGTTCAAGATGCTATCGAATATTTTAAAAAGAATATTTAATATTTTTACACAAAACCATAGATTTTCTTTTTCTGTATAAAAAGATTTATATGATATGCTATATTATCCAATATCAACTGCAATATATATGATTCATGAAGATCATTATCTAAAAAGACAGATCAGTGGCCGAAATAACTAAATTATTTAATTCGAAAGAACGTAAAAGCTTGATATATAAATCTGAAATATAAACTTTTTTGAAATAAATCATAAAGATTCATTTACTTTTATGCTAAACTGTCACTATTTTCATATTTTTATTATTTCACTAAAAATATTACTTAGATGTAATCTTTGAAGAGTATAGTATATTAACTATTTGAATTATAAATAAAAACTTAGCATATGTATCTTCCAAACAAAAAAAATGAACTTATTCGATGTGATAAAGCAATAGTGACGATGATCATTTTGTTTTCTGACAATTGAGATTTTGAACACCATATACATCTATTGGTTATTTTCAAACAAATATCCATTTTTCCTTTCTTTAATCACAAAAACAAATTGAGAACATGATAAAAATCAACAATAAAACAATTGAAAACAAAAAGATGTAATGCAGGTTACTATCAACACATTAAACTATTGTATATGCAATCAGCATTGATATTCGTCATTTATTAATGACTGTAAAAGATATTCTGTTAAACTGTTACTTTCAATGTATTTTTTTTTTCGAAGCACTTTTAATTATTAACATCAATTTTCTCTTTCTATGTTTCTTCTTGATGAAGATCTTTAGAAATGAATTTTTTTATATAAAGAAAAAGTATGTTGTTTTTTTTTCATAGCTATTTAGATATTATTTGAATATATACAATATATTATTTTATCATTATTTCATAAGTGTTATCATTCATAATTAAACATGACATTGAAAACTAACAGAAAGATACGTCAATAAGTATCTTAAGAAAAAGAAAGATATTGACAAGAACTTATTTCGTTAAATTTTCGGTTAAATTCCTCATCAATAACTGTCAAAGTTGAATTAACTAATTAACTGGAGGTATAGAATCTACTTCTTTGCACAAATGCGAACTTGGAAAAATTTATACATGATAAGCATAGAGATCATTTTTCTTTTATTGACGAATTTTATCGAAAAACTCGTCTCATTTAGAAACATTTTTTGTGTACACGGTATATTCATCATCTTTGTATTTAACACACAAAAAAAATTGCTTATTGAATATTTTATCAAAAGATATGTCAAACATATGGTTAATGATCTCTTTCTTGGTCATAAATTAGACATCAACTAAACATTTATTAACCTTTCTATTGTTGATATCTTTTTCTTTTATCATTTATAGTCAAAAAAATATGCCAACAAAGCAATGACATTTGCTATTGACATTTCATAATTTATTATACAATAAATTTGATATTCAACGTCAAATTTAGTATGACAAATGCAGGATTTTTATTTTTATTGAGAAAGAAAAAAAAATTAATTTTTTATTAAATCTTCCAGGAAGGAGAACATATTAAAATAAGTCACTTTTATAGAATAGTTTATTTCAAAGAATATGTAGGATATATCGATGACATCCATTGATACAATTCAAGCACTGTTAATATAATATAGCAGCTCAAAGTACATATAAATATTTCTTCATCACTTGGGATTCACCTGGAACGCAGCATATAGAACTCATTTCATATTTCTGTGTTAATATTTCAATTTGGACGCAATAAGGAAAGTTGATACTCATAGTATTAGTTGTCGTATTTCTTGTTGTCCAAATCAGCACAAAACCATTTTTGATTCATGCTGGGAAACATTTTAAGAATATGAGAAAAGAACGATAAGATAATGAGAAAAAGAAAGATTAATAAACCGTACTTAGATAAATTGTTCTCCTCTTGAGTTTTGTTGTATAGGATTCTTACAATTAGTATACTATCCAAAGATAATTTCAGCTACATCTATTTGATAATTAAACTGAGGTTCGTATGGACTTCAGATGAGAATCAGACTACTATTTCATAGGTGGTAATATTAGGGTTAATCATATCTTATTCGACTACATAAAAGATATTTCTCATTGTTTTACAAATGTAAATAATTATTTTCACTGATTAGATTTTTTTTTCATCATTTTTCATTTAATTTTCAATTGAAAAATCTACTCCATCATTATGGCTTAATAAAATTCTTCAACATTTCCTTCATCTCGCATCGACTACTAAACATGGATATGAATATATTCCTGAATATTTTCGTAATAATATTTACAAAGTAATTTGATAACATTTGCTGATAAGTCAAATAGATATGGTTGAAAGAAAAAATCAATAACAATCTTTGTCAAGTATTTCAATAACTTCATCAATAGTATATGAAATAACAACAATATTAATTGATCGTATTTTTTTACGTACATTTTGTGTATGTCAACTAATAACAAACTAACCATATATTTACCAATAGAATCGAATTCATGGTGTCAGGACTAGAGACGTGATCAAGAGATTATGAGTGGCAGAACAATCTTCTGGAGTGATCAAGATCCATCCTGTGATGTTCCTATCTCATTGCCTCTTTCTCTTAGAATGCGTTCTCTCTCTCTTTTCTTCTACTTGTCACATGGATTTTTATTTTTCTATTCGCACCTTCATGATTTACGTGTTTTTCGCTATTCTGCTCTTCTTGTCGCTTGAATTGCTTCTTTTCATCTCATCATATTTGCTTATCATCATGAAAATTTTCACTGTGCTCATGTCTATATATAGAGCGTTACTTCGCAATAAACAAGATTCGATCAGGTAATTATCTTCTTCGATCTTCAAAGTTAATCACCTATGGGGTTTATATCCTTTGACAAGTATTATCCTACAAGCTTGAGAGAAATTCATGCAATATAGTCACTAATGGTAGTTATTATGTTTTGCTTCTTTTTGATGATAGAATGATGTTTGACCTAGCTTATCCTTGGTGACATCAGTAGTTAGAACTTATTCTTCGATAACTACGAACTGTTAATTTGAAAGGAGAAATGATGACAATTTATATTGTACTATCTTTCGAATATTTACTTACAATGTTATTTATTCTCAAATAATTTTATATTGCTATTTATTTTGAGAGTTAAATCATACTCTTTTTGATCCACATATGATAAATTAAGGGTTAATCTTTTTCAAAATATTAAACATATAAATACCATTATCAAATGATCCAATCGGTGGTATAGTCAGGAATTTTTTATTTATAAGTAATTTATCAGTCAGCACCTGTTTTGAGGAAAGGTCACTTTTTCAAAAAAGTTCATAGGCAATAACTTTTCGAGTCGTGAGCATTTATCCAATAATTCATAGCTGGATATGATACTGGATCTACGCCCAGAAATTCTTGCATAAGAAAGATGCATTGTAGAATAACGTTGGTTGATAAAAACGACGATGATAATCATAATTTTAAGATTAAATAAACAGAGAAAAATACAAGAACTTCTGTTATAGTCGATACTACGATTGAAATTACAAAAAAGTATTGATAAAAAGATACGTTTTGTATATAGTTTTTATTTAATTATTGAAATGAAAATAAAATTGATAAAATATGGTAGTGTCATTGTTTGTTTGTTTTTTTCCTAACATTTTATCACTCGATGAATGATTTTATTTTACATTTTACCAGAATATTTTAGAAGAAAACCAATTCAACGGTGATTAAACACCGAAAAGAATGAAGACATATGCCGAACACTTACCAATTGAATTATGGATTCTAATATTTCGTTACATCGAAATACATGATCTTTTTCGAGCTTTTACTAATTTAAATAATTATTTTAATCGTATACTTGCTTCCAATCATCTTTTATTCTATATTCAATTGAGAAAAGATGATATATTTTATAAAGAACAGACTATTTTCCCTTCTTGGTCTACTACAATATTAAATCGTATAATTTCTTTAAAATTATCAACTAAAAAACACAGAAAATATATTTTTCAATTTCTTAATCTACATGGTAAAGAACTTATTCGATTAAAATCTTTAACAATTGAAATATATGAACGAGAAATATGCCCTAGTTGTATAGATTTTTTAAAATATCATTCAATTGAATATCTTTCACTGAAATGTATACCAAATCAAGTATTAATTGAAGCTATACTTTCTTCACCTAAACTTTGTAAATGTCGGTTATATTTTTGGTGATCAATATCAAATATTACTGAAAGCTTAAATATAAATAGTAATATTGAAATACTTTATGTTAAATTTAAAGATAATTCAAATTAACTAATTATGAATATACTTTTATCTCATATGCCAAAATTAAAAAGACTTGAAATTGAAAATGATCATGTTAATTATTATTTAGATTCATTTTTTACTTTTTCAAAACTTAGAAAAATTAAACTTTTTTGGTTACGCCAAAGTATGAGACCAGATTATTTTGAACGTTTATTAGCAATAACACCTATTATTAAATTTATTTATCTTGGTATATATTGTACCCGATTAGATAAATCATTGTTTCAAAAATTTATTTATTATTGGTGGCCAGATTCAGTAAAAATTCCCTTTATTAAAATTTTTATTCGATGTCGTGAATTGGCAAGAACAAATAATAATAATGAAAAAATAATGTTTGATAAATATTGTCGACAAATCTTAAGTATAATGAATACTCAAACAAACACATATTTTAAAGTTAAATGGATTGAAGAAGATTCCAAAATGCATCGAATTCAAATGATTATTCACAATATTGGATTATATCTTGACTTTAGATAAACAAAATGCATTGCTCTTTTTATTATAATAATAAAAAAAAAAATCAAGAAAATTTCTTTTTCTTCGACTAACTTATTCAATGGCACACCGATTTCTCTAATTACTGATAAATGATATCGATTAGTACTATTAATCATGAGTACAATTCTTTTTTTATACGTCAAGCACTTATGAGTGCGTGTTCATTCTCGTTACTATATTATTCAATCAGTAAGTCTATTGTCAAATTCGATTAGAACAGTTGATTGAATCTTTGTAAATAGCTCATGTTTAACCAACGGCATATATTCTTTCATAGTACATGAAATATTCAAATTGGCATCGAAATGCAAATTTGTAAAAACGACACAATCATTGAATATTCTTAATACTGATTATCAACTTTTTTTTTTTTTTATATTGAACATTTCTATTTGAATACAAATGAAAAGATATTTTTTTGTTAAAATATTGTTTGATAATTGTAAGCTTATATTCTGTATGAAAATCGATTTAAAAAAAAACTAAAAAAGAAAAACACTAATAGTAATATTCTTGTTATACAAAATGAATTGAACTAATCTTTTATCGAGTATTTGTCAATTTTTCGAAAGATTAAATAGAAATCTTTGTAACTCATTAAGACAATGATGAGTTGAAATATCACTGCCTTAGTATTGTCAATAGTAATTGAACTGTTTCATTTTCTTCATTCTATTTCGAGTTCATCTTTATCTTAGTATTTACTATTGTCTTATCAATCGTCACCCTTACCAAACGGGATTAGTTATGTGAATCAAGAACTCTTTCTTTCGCTTTGTCTTATCAACAATTTTGTTAGTAAAAGATGCGAAGACAAACGATTTTGTACATCTTACACAAGACATAAAGCGCGACAACGCCATTAAATAAGAAAGACATACGTGCTTTAGACACGGTCAATCATCTTTAAGTATTGTAGATTGGTAGGTAAGCGATATCTTTTTAGTTCTCATTTTATTATTGCACCACGATCGGTGCCTTTTGAAATCTTTGCGGTGAGGTGATTACATATGTCGATATATATATATATAATCTAATCTTATGAATAATTAGAAGAAAAAAACAAGATCATTTCGTTGTATTGCTCTAAAAACCATCTATAAAAAAAGATAATTATCTCGATTTGTTGTCAATAAAATCCGATTGATAATGCACCCTTTAATCGTTTATTTTTGTCAAAAAAAAAAAACAAAGATTTTTCTTTATATAAACGCCCACACACAGTGTTTGATTTTGACCGTCATTTGACGGCAACAATATTTTTACTAAGAAATATGCCAAGAATTTCTTTTTTTTTTAGTCATTTTGTTCTATTGTACTTTTTCTTTTAATTGAAGGTTGTTATGTCTAAAGTTTTTTTTTTCTAATGTAAAAAAAATTCTGCATTAGTTAGAGGCATAAAATGTTTTTGTGTTTTTTTCAAAACCTATAAGAAAAAATAGAGAAAAAAAAAGAGTCAATTACACATAAAGCAAACATGTGATGATGATGAGGATGCGAGGAAGAATAGCAGCAGTAACAGCAGCAGTAATAATAACAGCAGTCGCCTCTTTCTTTTTATGCATAAATATATAAATACGTGTTAGCTCCCTTGCTCACATCCTCATCATCATCGGCAAAAGAGAAAGAGAGAGAGAGGAAGAGAGAGAGAGAGGGAGGCGGAGAGAAAGCCGAGAAAAATTATTATGCATTGTTTTTTCCTCTTCTTATTCTGAAATCATCAACAACATCGATCGTTCGTATATATATATATATATACACATACACACACACACGAGTGTAGTTACCTACTGGCAAAAAAGAAAAAAAAAGAAGAATAATCACTTGATTATCTATTGCATTCATACGCACAAATAAGAAAACAAGCCCCATGGCCACTAGCACTACGATGAATCCCTATCGAGCTTATGATCCTACTGTTTCAGTCTATCAAGTTCCTGAATTTGTTGTTGGTGGTGAAAAAATGCTATATCATGCATTATATGGAAATGAAGCTTATGAAAAACTTCGTAAGTTCATTTTTAATCTTATATTTCATTAAGTTATTTTATTTTCCAATAAGACTTTTAGGGAAAATCTATTAGTGAAGTCTTATCTTTTCGTTTTCTTTTTCATATTG